ACAGTTTCAACAGAATGATACGGTGTGAAATTTTTTGTCTTGCTTCTTTCACTCAGCATAATTATGTTGAGGTTCATCTAGGTTGTTATGTGACATTTGGGTTAAATGGACATCTGTTCAACTGTTGATGGACATCTCTAGTTTTTGGCAATGGCAAAGATGCTATGGACATTTGTTTATAACTTTTTGTATGGACATATGCTTTCATTTCTTTTGGACAATACCTAGGAGTTGAATGCCTGGATTGTATGGTCGGTCTATGTTTAAATTTCTAAGATTTTAAATTTAGATTTAGATAAATAATATTATAAATTTAAATTTGTAAGAAACTTTTTTTTTTGCATAGGGCTATCCCAGTTGTTCTCACATAATTTTTTTTTTTTAATTTTATTTATTTATTTATTTTTCCCCCAAAGCCCCAGTAGATAGTTGTATGTCATAGCTGCACATCCTTCTAGTTACTGTATGTGGGACGCGGCCTCAGCGTGGCCAGAGAAGCAGTGCGTCGGTGCGCGCCCGGGATCCGAACCCGGGCCGCCAGCAGCAGAGCGCGCGCACTTAACCACTAAGCCACGGGGCCGGCCCTCTCACATCATTTCTTGAAAAAAGTATCCTTTCCTCACTCTGTTGCCTTTGCACACTGATGAAAGTAAGTTGTCCATATATGTATGGATGTACTTCCTATTATCTATTCTGTTGATTGCTGTGTGTTGACATGAATGCTAAACTTGCTGATTATTGTATCTTCATAATAATTCTTATAATTAAGTAGTACTGTCCTACTATGTTCTTCTTTTCAAAGTTGTTCTGTTTTAGGTTCTTTCCATTTCCCTATGAATTTTAGGATCAGCTTGTCAATTTCATCATCAACCAAAAAAAAGTCTGCTGGGATTTTTGTTAGAATTACATTTAAGGTATAGATCAATTTTGCAGTAATTATTGATATCTTAACACTATCAAGTTTTTCGACCCATGAACATGATATATCTCTCCATTTATTTAGATCTTTAACTTTTCTCAGCAGTTTTGTAGTTTTTAGTGTACAAGTCTTACACATCTTTTGTGAGATTCATCCTTAAGTATTTTCGATTTTTTTATGCTATTGTAAATTATATTTTTAAAATTTGAGTTCCTGGGTCTGACCCCGTGGCTTAGCGGTTAAGTGCACGAGCTCCACTACCGGCGGCCCGGGTTTGGATCCCGGGCGCGCACCGACGCACTGCTTCTCCGGCCATGCTGAGGCCGCGTCCCACATACAGCAACTAGAAGGGTATGCAACTATGGCGTACAACTATCTACTGGGGCTTTGGGGGAAAAAAAGGAGGAAGATTGGCAATAGATGTTAGCTCAGAGCCGGTCTTCCTCAGCACAAAGAGGAGTAGCATGGATGTTAGCTCAGGGCTGATCTTCCTCACAAAAAAAAAAAAATTTGAGTTCCTGAGCGTTCTCTAGTATTTACTTATTGGTCATGTATGCTTCAATCTGGCTAAACTCAATTATTTTCTAGTAGCTGTTTTATAGACTACATTTGACTTTCTACACCTGTGATCAAGTGATCTGTGATCAAAGATATTTTTGTTTCTTAATTTCTCTTCTGCCTGCTTCTGTTTATTTTCCTGCTTTTTTGCGCTGCTTAGAACCTCTAGTCCAATGTTAAGTAGAAGTGGTGAGGGCATAGCTTTCTATTCCTGATCATATGCGGTAAGCATTCATTCTCTGCCCATTGCGTATGATGTTACCCATGTGTTTTGGGCAGATGGTCTTTATTAAGTTCTTTTTTCCTAGTTTGTTGTGAGTTTTTATCATGGATAGATTTTGTTAAATCCTTTCTTTTTTTCTTTGCATCTTTAGACATGATCGATATGGGTTTTTTCCCCTTTTTTTTGTTAATTTAGTGAAATATATTGACTGAATCTTCAAATATTAAATGAATCTCATATTCCTGGGATTGGTCATTGCTATGGTCTGAATGTTTGTGTCCCCGTGAACATATGATGAAATCCTAACCCCCAAAGATGATGACATTAGGAGGTGGGACCTTTGGGAGGTGCTTAGGTCGTGAGGGTAGAGCCCTCATGAGTGGGATTAGTGTTCTTATAAAGAGGTCCCTCTCCCACTTTCACCATGTGAGGACAGAGTGAGAATGCACTGGCTGTGAACCAGGAAGAGGGCCCCCACCAGAACATCAAGAGATCTTGGACTTCCCAGCCTCCAGAACTGTGAGAAATAAATTTTTGTTGTCTGTAAGCTACCCAGTCTGTGGTATTTTGCTATAGTAACTCGAACAGACTAAGACAGGCATGATGTGTTATCTTTTTAAATATAGTGATGGATTCTGTTTGCTAAGATATTGTTTCGTATTTTGCATATATGTTTAGAAGGTTTTGTAGTGTGTAATTTTCACTTCTTCTACTGTTTTTGTTGTTGTTGTTTTGTATTAGAGTAACTGGCTGCATAGAGTGAGTTACTCCTCATCAGTTTTCTGGAAGAATTTGTTTAAAATTGATACTACTTCTTCCTTAAATATTTGAAACAGCTCTCCAGTGAAGCTGCCTCCACTTGGGATTTTCTTTGTGGGAAGGTTTTCAACTACCAGATTAAATTGTTTACTGGTATAGTGTTCCCACACTGATTTTATACCCTTCTCATGCTTGTGTCGTCATTGGTAAGCCTGAGTGTTATACTGATCCATATCCAAATACAAATTAGGAAATTGCCTTCTCTGGCTGTTTCCATCCCAGGATTTCTCCCTCACTTACCAGTTTGGCAGCGCTGCCTCCCATTGTTTTTATAGCCATAAATATATTGGAGTTTATGTTGGAATTTTCATAGCCCATGCTTGCCTCACCATAATTGGGACCTACCCTTGAGGCAAGGACGTGAGAGTGAGTACAGAAGCAAGAAAATTGGCTCAATCTGGGTTGCTTTGTTAAGGTTTGACTCTTTTCCAAAACCCTCCTGCTTTAATTTACAGTCCTTGTGTCATTAGTTTTTGTATTTTGTCGAGTGTTTATAGATGAAATCAGTCAGAGAGGGGGACAGGCTCTAGGGACTTAATGCCACCGTACTGGAACTAGCACTTCTTCATTTAAGGAGTTATTTAATGGTTAAAAGTAATTTTTTTCTCTTGTAACATTGCTGATTTGTTGCTTTTTATTTCCTGGTTTATATCTATCACAATCATTTTTATGCTACTATTTTTGCAGTTTGGGTCAGTCATAGTTCTCGGAGTCTTTGAAGTCTTCCTCTCTTTTTGGCATAAGATTTCTAAGCTCGCTTTTCCTGCTCGCTTTCTATATTTTCCCTTTGTCCAACTATCCTGTATCCATATGTTAGATCTAGATTTTGAGAAATTACAATATACATGTTAAAGTATTCTTATTACAACTGTTTTTTCTGGCAGCTTTTTTCTATTTCTTCTGCCATCTGGTTGGTTGAGACTTTCTCTTCTGTGATCAGTTTTGATAAATTTTCTTAGAAAGTTGTCCATTCTCTCAAAAGTGTTCATATAGTACTCTTATAATTTAAATAAATTCGCCTGTGTATCTTATTTTCCTCTTTTCATTTCTTATTTTTATTTGTTTACTCTCTTTTTTGATTGGTTTAGCTAATATTTCCAATAACAATTTTTTAAAGTGCCAGCTCTTTATTTGTTAATGCTACTGTTTTCTAACTCATTATATTCTGCTTTTATTTTTATTTTTTCTGCTTTCCTCTACTTTGTTATTTATTTTCTAGGTATTGGGCTTTGATCCTCAACTCATTTCCTTTCATAGAGATAATCATTTAAGTTTTGAGTTTTCTGAGTGGTGAAATTGCATTGCCAAGATTCCGATATGTACCTATTTTCTGTATAGTCATTTACTGGAATTATTCCATTTCAGTTTTTTCTTTCCTTAGCGATCCAGCATTTTTGGAGAGGGCATTACCATTTCCGCATGGAAGGGCTTTTGGTTTTCTAATATTTGCTATTAGTTTCTATCGTTACTCTATTTTCAAGAGTGTTGTTAATATTATTTCAATTTTTTGTACACATACCATACTCTAGTCACAAGAAGATATTTTTTGCCCCCAAGTCATAGCCTTGTCATTAAGCACTTCTGATTTTGCTCAAGATGTTGCTTCATGTAGACTTTTATCCTTCAAGTCACAACTGCCAATTCTTTTTCATATAATTCTTGGCTGTCTTGCTCTAGATTCTGTTGTATAATTCAGGTTCCCTCTTTTGCCCCAAGTCCCTAAATGTTCACAGTACCATAAGACCCATTATGTGTCAGAAAATGGATTAACATCTTCTTCTGGGGATTACCAGAATGGTTGGCCTTGGTTAAAAGAGAAAGCTAGAGAAGGACCTGAGAAAAGATATAAGGAATAAAACAGATTGAACAGCTGTAAGGATAGTAAATAGTTATCCTCTCCTAAGATTTTACTAAGTAAAGATTCTCAGTATCTTAATTGTTATGAAGAGCAAAGAAAAGCACACGTGGCTATGCATAGGAGGGAGTGAACCACAGTGTGGAAGTGTGTATTTTTAGGGGAGTTGGAATTGAAGAATGATCAGGTATAAATAATTGCCTTTTTAAATTTAATGTGTGTCTATATTTATATTTTAGATGCAAGTGGTATGTTAGAGCTGGCTTGTATTGGCTCTCTAGGGTCAAGATTTTACATATCCTAAGTCTGGGTTCGTTTACATTATATTGATGGCTTGAAATTGCCTGTGGTGGGAGTATTTACAGTTTAGACGTTGGCAAACGGTACACATCAGGACTGGATGTGTTGTGTGCATGCCCGCATGTGTAGAGCTGGTTGTTAAACATTTACCAGCACTCTACCACAGAAATTATTTTCTTAGCTCTCCTTTTGTGTTTTCCAGTTTTATAACTGTATTTTAGACTTCTTTAAACCATCTCTAATGATTGAGAGTTTGAATTTAGTCTTAATTCAATTATAGAACATTTTCTGGTCAAGGAAACTTTTTTTTTTTCTATTTGTTTTAGATTTGGAATCAAGATATGAAATAATCAGCTCTGGAAAAATGTACATTTATACAAAACATTCATCTTTTACTCTACAACACAGAATTTATAATGGAGAGAAACCGTATGAATGTAAGGAATGTGGAAAGGCCTTTAGTCGTCCTACAGACCTTAGAGTACATCAGGTAATTCATACTGGTGAGAAACCATATCAATGTAAGGAATGTGGCAAGGCTTTTAGTCGTCTTACAGATCTCAGAGTACATCAGAGAATTCATACTGGTGAGAAACCTTATGAATGTGAAGAATGTGGGAAAGCCTTTAGTCGTGCCTCAAACCTTGCTCAACATGGAAGAGTTCATACTGGTGAGAAATCCTGTGTATGTAAGGAATGCGGAAAGGCCTTTAGTGACGTTGGAACACTTAGAATACATCAGAGAATTCATACTGGTGAGAAACCCTATGAATGTAAGGAATGTGGGAAGGCCTTTAGTCAAGCCTCAAACCTTATACAACATGAGAGAATTCATACTGGTGAAAAACCCTATGAATGTAAAAATTGTGGGAAGTCCTTTAGTCACGCCTCACATCTTGTTAGACATGAGAGAATTCATACTGGTGAGAAACCCTATGAATGTAAAGAGTGTGGGAAACCTTTTAGGAGTAGCCATCAACTTACTGTACATCATAGATTTCATACTGGTGAGAAACCCTATGAATGTAAGGCATGTGGCAAGGCCTTTAGTGTGTATGGACGACTTACTCGGCATCAGAGTATTCATAGTGGTAAGAAACCCTTTGAATGTAACAAATGCAGGAAGTCCTTTAGGCTCAGTTCAAGCCTCAAAGTACATCAGAGTATTCATACTGGTGAGAAACCCTTTGAATGTAACAAATGCGGGAAGTCCTTTAGGCTTAGTTCAGTGCTTAAAGTACATCACAGAATTCATACTGGAGAGAGAGCTTATGGAATATATGTATAGTGGACAATGGAATTATACCACTGAGAAACAATGTAAGTGAAGAGAATGTGAGCAGGCATTTTCAAAAAGGCTTATAAGGCATTAAATAATTTATACAGGCATGAACTGCTTGAAATTTAAATAATCGTTGAAGTTTTTCAGTTATGGCCCAAATATAGTTCACATTCAGAAAATTTGTTTTGTATTTTATATAAGAAAGTCTTTTATGGCATTCCTCTATGTTTCTCTATTCACTGGGTGTCCAGACTGTGTGGCCAATGTCACAAGGCAGATAAGGGCCACTCAGAAAAGAGACCAGTGCGTGATTTGAAGTCATGGAGAACAGAAAACATACACACCAGGATCAAGTAATACATTGTTTACTTACAGCAATACAGGAGATTTAATGCACAAGATCTAGCTCCTTGCAGTGCGTCAGTAACCTATGGCCAGCAGATCAAGTCCACATCTGATAGGGGTGATGAGCTGCCCACAACCACTTTGTGCTACAATGGCAAGGCACCAACCTCTTCCCCATGAGGTCTGACATCCGGAAAACTGGGGGGCATGCCTGAGAGCCATTGACATCTGTGATTAAGCAGAACAAAGGAGTACACACTGAGTCTGACACAAGGGAAGATATTCTTGCACAAGGCAAAAAACCCCTCACAGGCTGTGAGGGCTCTTTATCTTTAGGTAAGGAGGTGTTGCGTGCTCAACAAGGCCTATTCTTTTTCTTTCTGCCAGCTTTACTGATGTATAATTGACAAAATTATAAATGTAAGGTGTACAAGTGGTGCTAAGGGGGAAATTTATAGCTATAAATGCTTATATTAAAAAAAAAAACCAAGAAAGATCTCCAGTCAGCAGCCTAACTTGACAAGTTAAGTGACTAGAGAAAAAACAAACTAAACACAGAATTAGCAGACGGAAGGAAATAATAAAGATTAGAGCAGTGATAAATGAAATAGAGAAAATCATGAAATGAAAAGTTGGTTTTCAAAAAGATCAACAAAATTGACAAGCCATTAGCTAGATGGACTAAGAAAAAAAGAAACGAAACTCACATTACAAAAATTAGAAGTGAAAGTGGAGACACTACTACCGATTCTACAGAAATAAAAGGATTATAAGAAAGTACTGTAAACAATTGTATGCCAAGTAATTGGATAACCTAGATTAAATGGACAAATTCATAGAAACATAAAACCTACCAAGACTTAATCACGAAGAAATAGGAAATCTGAATAGACTAGTAACTAGTCTATAACTAGTAAGGACATTGACTCAGTAATCAAAAATCGCTCAACAAAGAAAAGCCCTGGACCTGATGGCTTCGCTGGTGAATTCTGCCAAACATTTAAAGAAGAACCAATAGTAATACCTTTCAGACTTTTCAAAAAAAATAGAAAGGAGGAAAGACTTCCTTACTTATTCTATGAGGCTAGCCTTACCTGTCACCAAAGCCAGTGAAAGACACTACAAGAAAGAAAACTACAGAACAGTGTCACTTATGCACATGGATGCAAAAATCCTCAACAAAATGCTAGCAAACAAAATTCAGCAGCATGTTAAAAGGATTATACACCATGACCAAATGAGTTTATTCTTGGAATGCAAGGATGGTTCAGCACATGAAAATTGACCAACGTTGTATGTCACATCAACAAAATGAAGGAAAGAAACCACATGATCATCTCAATTGATGCAGAAAAAGCATTTAACAAAATTCAGCACACTTTCATGATGAAAACCTGCAACAAAATGGAAATAGAAGGAAACTTTTTCCACATAATAAAAGCTACATATGAAAAACCCACAGCAAATGTAATACTTGATGATAAAAGACAAAGCTTTTCATCTAAGATTAGGAACAAGGCATGGATGTCCACTTTCACCACTTCTATTCAACATAGTGCTGGAAGTTCTAGCCAGATCAATTAGGCAAGAAAAAGAAATCAAAGACATCCAAATTAAAAAGGAAAAAGTAAAATTATCTCCTTGCAGATGATATGATCATATGTATAGAAAATCCTAAAGATTCCATTAAAAAGCTGTTAAATTTAATAAATGAATTCAGCAGAGTAGCAGGATACAAAATCAACACAGAAATATCAGTTAAATTTTTATACCCTAACAATATGAAAAAGAAATTTCAAAAACAATTTCATTTACAATAGCAGCAAAAAAAATGAAATACTTAGGAATTAATTTAACTAAGGAGGTGAAAGCTTTGTACAATGAAAACTACAAAACATTGCTGAAAGAAATTGAAGATGACATAAATGGAAACACATCCCATGTTCATGGATAGCAGTCTTAATATTGTTAAAATGTCAGTATTACCCAAAGCAATCTACACATTCAATGCAAGTCCTATCGAAATCCCAATGATATTTTTTTGCAAAAATACAATACCCATCCTAAAAATTCATTCGGAATCTCGAGGGACCTCAGATAGCCAAAAAAATCTTGAAAAAGAAGAACAAAACTGATATGGCTCACACTTCCTGATTTCAAAACTTAGTACAAAGCTATAGTAATCAAAACAGTGTGGTCTTGTGACATAGGCAGACTTATACAGACCAATGGCATAGAATAGAGAGCCCACAAATAAACCCTCACAATATATAGTCAAGTGATTTTTGATAAGGCGGCTGAGGCCGTTCAGTGGGGAAAGGACAGTCTTTTCAACAAATGGTGCTGTGAAAACTGGCTATCCACGTGCAAAAGAATGAAGTTGGACCCTTACCTAATGCCGTGTATAAAAATTATCTCAGTGGGTCAAGGATCGTAATGTTAAAGACCTACAACAGTAAATCTCTTAGACTAAAATGTAGGATAAAAGCATCATGATATTGGATTTGGCAATGATTTCTTGGATATGACACCAAAAGCACGGGTAACAAAAGAAAAAATAGACAAATTGGACTTCATGAAAATTAAATTATGTGTATCAACAGACACTCTCCATCTGGAAAAATACCATTGAAACTAATAGAATATCATTTTCAACAAGTCATTTTTGGAAATCACTTTCCTTTAGCTATATATCTCCTTCATTAGAAGAGAATGTGTGGGTCATTGTCAGCTAAAAGAGAAAAGACACTATCCACACAGTAAAGAGTCTCACGACAGCATGGGAGAAAATATTTGCAAGTCATATATCTGATAAATGATTAATATCCAGAATATAGAGAAACTTTTAAAACTCAACAACAAAGAAACAAACACCTGATTGAAAAATGGGTAAAGGACTTGAATAGAGAGTTTTCCGAAGAGGATATATGAATGAGCAATGAGCACGTGAAAAGATGCTTAATATCACTAATCATCAGGGAAATGCAAATCAAAACTACAGTGAGATACCACCTCACGCATTAGGATGGCTGCTATATTAAAACAGAAGAACAAGTGTTGGTGAGGTTGTAGAGAAATTGGAACCCTTCTGCAGTGTTGATGGGAATGTAAAATGGTACAGCTGTTATGGAGGTACACCTGGAGTATGGCGGTTCCTCAAAAGATTGAAAATAGAATTACATATAATTCAGCAATTCCAATTCTGGGTATATACCCAAAAGAATTGAAATCGGGGTCTCAGTGAGATAGTTCTACACCCATGTTCATGGAACCATTGTTCACAATAGCTAAAAGATGGAAGAAACCCAAGTGGCCATCGTTGGATGAATGGATAAGTCAAATGTGATATATACATAAAATGTAATACTATTCAGCCTTAAAAAGGAAGGAAATTTTGCAATATGCTACAACCTGGATGAACCTTGAGGATATTATGGTACATGAAATAAGCTATCACAAAAGACAAATATTCTATGATTCCACTTATATGTGGTACTTAGAGTAGTCAGAATCATGGCTACAGCTTGTAACGGTGGTTGCCAGTGGCTGGTAGGAGCGGAGAATGGGGAGTTATTATTTAATAGGTACAGAGTTTCACGGTTACAAAATGAAGAGAGTTATGGGGATGATGGTGATGATGGCTGCACAAGAATGTCAATATATTTAATACCACTGAACTGTATACTTAAAAATGGTTAAGATGGGGCGGGCCCGGTGGTGTAGCAGTTAAGTGCGCATGCTCCGCTTTGCAGCCTGAGGGTTTGCAGGTTCAGATCCTGAGCATGCACCGACGCACCACTTGTCAAGCCATGCTGTGGTGGCGTTCCATGTAAAGTAGAGGAATATGGGCACGGATGTTAGCCCAGGGCCAATCTTCCTCAGCAAAAAGAGGTGGATTGGCATTGGATGTTAGCTCAGGGCTGACCTTCCTCACACACAAAAAAATGATTAAGACGGTAACTTTTATGTTGTCTGTATTTAAAACAGTAGCAACAACAAAATTGCACAGACTGGGTGGCTTAAATGACAGAAATTTATTTTCTCATAGTTCTGGAGACTGGAAAATCCAGATGTCAGCAGGTTTGGTTTCTCCTGAGGCCTCTCTCCTTGGCTTGCAGGTGGCTGCCTTCTCATTACATCCTCACATGGCCATTTCTCTGTGCGTGTGCATCTCTGGTGTCTCTCTGTATGTCTTGATCTCCTTATAGGGACATTAGTAAGATTGGATTAGGGCCCACCCAGATGATGTCATTTTAGCTTAATTACCTTTTTAAAACCCTATCTCCAAATACATTGTGAGGTACTGGGGGTCAGAATGTCAACATATGAATTTTAGGGAAACACGTTTAAGTTCATAACTTTGGTCAAACTGATGCAGCATGGCCCGAGGCCTCAGGCATACACAAACACTATTTTTAGGCAGGATATTGCAAGGGCTCAGAGGTTATCTCTCAGAAGCTGGTTATGGGTCAGTCCTTCTTGCAATGTGCAGGGTTTGGGCAAACCAAGGCTGATGTGTTAACTGTTTACTACACACCATGCAAGCACTAACCAAAAAAAGCTAATTAAGAAAATAAGGATAACTAGAGATAACGGGACATAATGATAAAAAGGTGAACTCACCAGAAATGTACAGTGTAAAATTTTGCATAAAC